TCCAAGAGAAGGCACTGGAACCCACCTTGCACCTTTATCTAATGTACTTTTACATGACGTAAGGGATGAGCAATCCCTTTTGTCACCGATCCTTTTCTGTTTCAGCCATGATTTCTATATCAAAATATTATGTAGTTATAAAAGAAACTGAGCATAGTAGCAATGCAGTAGGCATCTTGTTGTGCCAAAGGTGCAAGTTTAAGCCCTGCTCAAAGGCATTAACCTAGCTGCCAGTGGGTACCTAGTCATTCAGGCTAAGGAACCAAAGGTGGCCAGACTTGATATGGGCAAGTTCACACCGTCTGTGTTCTGTGGCCTACAGAAACTGGCATGCCTTCAACACATTAACCCAGTGGGTATTACGTTCAGGTGAACCTTTGATATGTGAAAGAGGACCACAGAGATCCTGTAACTTATTCAGTTTATACTTTTTCATTTTATAAAATATAACAAAGATACTGTCTTTAACTTAACCCATTAGATCTTTTTATGTGCCTGTGTATGAGCAGGTCAAAAGGTTTCCACCACGAGGAATCTGAATGCCATTTCTTTTTGTGAGTTGAAATCAGACCTTGAATCCCAATTTTATGTTATCATGTTGAATGTTTTCTGCTAGTATTTTTAACAAAGAAAAATTGCCAGGGTCTATTTCTGTGGTGCATGATTCATTAAAGCATAGTACATTAAAACTTATTAAGAGGTAGAACAGTGAAAAATGCAGACATTTCTTAGATTTATTTAACTAAGAATCATCAGTTCTGTAGATTGTAAACTGATGTGTGCCAGAGAATTCCACTTAGTAATTTCTTTTTTTCTTTTTGGGGAAAAATTGATTTAAAGAAAGATCAGAGAGAGAGCAAAAGCAGTTGGAATTGCAGAAGCCTTCAGTTCCTGCTATACCTCCAAAGAAACCCAGACCACCCAAAACTAACTCTCTGAACAAACCTGGTGCATTGCCCCCACGGCGACCAGAAAGACCAGTTGTGCCTGTGACTCATGCAAGGTATTGTTCTTTTCCTATCTGGAATGATTTGGAATAAAAGGCAACCTACAGATTCGTAGATTTTAGATCTTTGCAGTTGATGCTACTGTTAATTTCATATTTTAATTTTATTTAAAGGAACAAAATAAAAAGGAGTCTTCTAGTTAGATATTGTACCATAAAGCTGTCACACTGACCTTGAAAAGATTAGATGTTTTGGTGCTGTTGTAATTCAAGTAAGTTAACTGTTACTTAGTATGAGTTAATTAGTGTACTAACAAGAGTTCACAGCTGTTTGTTCCTAGTCCAGCATTTGTGGAGTGTCTGCCAAGCACTTGCAGTAATGTTAGTTAATTCCAGTTAATTGCTGTGCAACAAACTCAAGTTACAATGATTGGAACAACTCTAGATTAGACAGTGCCATTTGGTAGCCCTGCCTACTTGACTCGAAAATAATGTGTTAGCCTGTAACATTTATAAATAATATTGCTTTTAAGAAAGGTCTAACTTGGTTTCAGTCTTTGGCCATTGTAGACAAAGTTTGAACATATTTATAAATTTTTTGCAATAAGTATTTTAAATTACACAAGGATACACTCAAAGTACTGTGCTGGAACCCTACTTGTAAGATAGTTTATAATGGTATTATCTGAGTTGCTGTTACCTTGTCTTTCATCAGTGGCTGCCATCACCCTTTACCAGCATTAACAGATTAGGCATTGCAACATAGTTTTGAGGTAGAATCATATTAATTTTGTTTCACATTTGGGAAAACAAATGAAACAAAGTTTAAATGACTTGCCCCAGGTCATGCACTATCTATGGCACAGGCAAATAATAATAGAACTTTGATCTCTGGTCTCCTCGCTGTCCTATACTTTTAAGTTTCGGTGCTCAGGTACTAGGTTGATAAAGGCAGGTTAAGAGCCTAAATAAAACCAAAACACAGTGTTTTCCCTCCTTCATGTACTATCTCAACTTAAAATCCAGTCAGTTTTAAAAAAAAAGTAGTTTAAGGTGTTCCTCTAGACTGTGTTGTCTGCTGCCAATTTTATCTCATGAAAGTTGATGAAACCCCTTTAAGGAGCACCACTGCTAACAGTTTCACTCCTGATTATTTTATCAGTTAATTTAAATTAATGGCCTTATCAAGTCTGGAGGTTGTATTGTGTTCTCCTATATAAGGATGTTTTATGGGAATAAGTCTGAAGTTTAACATTAATTAAATAATCCATGGAATAGATTTTTAATTATTTGGATAATTAAGAAGCTTGAAACCTAGAGTAAAAATGGTCTATTTTTTAAATGCAGTTTGCAGGATATGGTTGTTTTCTAACTAATAGTCATCTCCATTTCACAGTTTCATAGTTGGTAGGGTCGGAAGGGACCTGAGCAGATCATCAAGTCCGACCCCTTGCCATAGGAGGAAACAGTACTGGGGTCAAATGACCCCAGCAAGGTGTTCATCCAGCCTCCTTTTAAAGACCCCCAGGGTCGGAGCCAGCACCACTTCTCTTGGAAGTTGGTTCCAGATCTTAGCCGCCCTGACAGCAAAGTAGCGCCTCCCGATGTCTAGTCTGAATCTACCCTCTGCCAGCTTGTGACCATTATTTCTTGTCACTCCTGGTAGTGCTTGGGGGAACAGGGACTCCCCCAATGCCTGCTGGTCCCCTTTGACTAGTTTGTAAATGGGTCCCCTCAGCCTTCTCTTGTGGAGGCTGAACAGGTTCAGGTCCCGTAGCCTCTCCTCATAGGGCCTGCCCTTCTGACCCCTGATCATGCGAGTGGACCCTCTCCATGTTGTCCACATCCCTCTTGAAGTGCGGCGCCCAGAGCTGGACACAGTACTCCAGCTGCGGCCTGACCAGTGTCGCATAGAAGGGGAGGATCACCTCCTTGGACCTGCTTGAGATGCATCTGTGGATGCATGACAAGGTATGGTTGGCCTTCCTGACTGGTTCCCATGCTGTCGGCCCATGTTCATTTTGGCATCAATAATGACCCCAAGATCCTTTTCTGCCTCTGCACTGACAAGAAGGGAGTTCC